AGGCTCTGCGACGGCCTCCTTCTCAGTGTGCTCCATGTTCTGCATGGCGTCACCAGCAGGCTCTGCGACGGCCTCCTCTGTCGGCTCACTGTTCTGCTGCTGCTGCTCCATGTTCCGGATGGCGTCACCAGTAATGTCGGTCATGGTCTCCTTGTCAGTGAACTCTCTCTTCTTCTGCCGCTCAAGCTCTTTCTCCGTGATTTGCATGGCTGTACTAGTAAGGTCCGTCATGGTTTCCTTCTCAGTGAACTCTCTCTTCGGCTGCCACTCAAGCTCTTTCTCTGTGATCTGCGTGGCTGCATCAGTGAGCTCCGTGTTGAGTCCTGCGACGGGTTGTCTATTGTAGTCTGGCTCGCCGTGTTTGCTTTTGTGGTGCCTTATTCCCGGTTCCGCCGTGTGGGGGCGCATCGTTGTTTGTTGGAACGCGCCCTCGGCCTCTACGTCTTGGTGGGAGCCGTCGTGTTGCCTCCGACCCCCTATCGGTGCGGTGGCAGGCGGTTCCGTAGAGCGCAAGTGGGGCCTCTTTTTCGGTCTCGTGAGGACGAGTGTTCGCGGCGTTGTCATGCGGTNAGGCGGTTCCGTAGAGCGCAAGTGGGGCCTCTTTTTCGGTCTCGTGAGGACGAGTGTTCGCGGCGTTGTCATGCGGTGCGTGACGGTCATGCCGGCGTCATTGTTGGCTTTGGTATAATCCTCTAGCGTGAGGCTGTTGGCGAAGCCAATCGGTGCGAGGGGCTTCCATTGTCCGCGCTTTGCTGAGGCAAGCTCGACCTGCAGCGCCTCGACCTCAACGAGGAGGTCGCTGCGCTCCTTCTCTACAGCGCGGAGGCTGTGGAGCAGTTTCTCTTCCATCTCTGCCCGTTGCGCGCACACGTTGACGAGCTCCTTCTTTAGCGCGCTGCACTGCTGCTTGTAGAATTCCACGCTGTCGCGCATGCGCTGCAGGTCCCCCTCCTTCGCGTACATCTCCTTCCTGAGATCGTCCATCTCGTTCATAAGTGAGGCAAGGACAGACTTGAGATGCTCAGTCCCGCCGCCGTCAGCAGATGAGCTGTTGAGGGTCGCCTGTTGCGTATCAATGAGTTCGTTCTGCACCTGCAGCCGCTCCTCCAGCTGACGTATATGATCAAGCGCGCATGCGTGCTGCACGCGCAACTCCTGCGGCGTAAACTCACGATTGACGCGCGGCCGATTGCGCACGCGCTTCGCTCTCTGAGCAAAGCGTAGCGTTGTGACGGTTTCATCACGATTCAAGTGCGATACAGAACCGTGACATAATAATGTTGTCAGGGAATTGCCACCGAGGGACTCCTGCAGCACTCGCGTCAGCTTCGAGTCGCGGTACGGGACGTAGCCGGCGCGGCCGTCCGTGAGCCTGTGGATGACGTTACCGAGTAGCGTGAGCGAGAGGTTGATGCACTGTGCCTCACGCAGCCGTTCTCCTTCCGCAAGCGTCTTGGAAACCTTCTCGCTCCCAGCGAGGTCGACAAGGTTTAACCGGCTCGACGTGAGCGTGCCGCCCGTGACGTGGTCCTTCTGCTCAAGGAAGAGGCACAGCAGACAGTGACTCCTGCTTGATGTTTCGTTGGAGCTCGTCGCGCCCGTGTTGCGGCGCAGTATGCCACAGCGCACCAACGCCATCACATCCGCTGCGCTTCGGCACTCCAGCTGCGACAGCGACTCCACGTAGACGCCACGGCCCAGCGGGTCCTCGCGGATTCGGTAGTCCGACTCCTGTGGGCCGTTGCGCACGAGGTCGATGATATTCTCCTTGTAGATCTCGAACATGGAGAGCGTTAGACGCCACGTGCGCTCTGCTGGGTCGAAGCGGTTTAGGCTGAGGAAAAGATCCTCAATGATTCGGGGAACGAGGCCGCGCTCTTCGTAACGTGCGCTGCGTAGAGAGAAGACATTCGCCTTTCCGCCTGTTGGGCCGATCATGCTGTGCGTCTTGCCACTGCCGGTCTGCCCGTAGGCAAGGACAGTGCCGTTGTATCCCTTCAGCACGGAGGCCACAACGGGTGCCCCAATGTGCTCGTACACCTCCTCCTGCGTGGCGTACTCTGGCAATACGGTGTCGAACGTGAAGCACTTCGTCGGGCAGCGCAACAGTGCGGTTGTGGGGTACGATGAAGAGGTTGTTGACGGGGTGCGGCGACCGTCGTCCAGCGTGTAGGTGCGCTCGGCCACCCTGACGCAGTTTGAGTCGTAGCATATGCACGGTTCCGCTTCAGTGGCAGTGGCGCGTTGCTGCTGCTGCTCTGCGACGTTCAGTGGGCGGAATCGCACCACAACGCGCACCTGCGGCCTCGCCACCACCTTCTGCAGCGGCAGTGCCGTCTCCTCAGCCGCCGTTGCCATGTCCTGTGAAGCTTGCATACGAAGTCAGCTGCCCGTATGGGGTGGGGCGAATGGTATAAAATAAGCCAGTCAAAGCAAGAAAAAGAAATAGACGATTGAGAGCACTTGTAACTAAGCGCGGCAAGACGGCCACTCTCTCCCTCTCCAACACGAGCAGCATCCGCACCGCAGCCCCGGCGTATCGTGGGGGCCGATTGGCTGTTGATACTGAAAGACCGCATATCAACCCAAGCAACAAAAAACAACAAAAAAA